GGAAATTATGGGATTGCGGAGTGATATTTCATGGGATACTATCAGCAACAACCTGATACTGGCCGCGTCCGATATAATGGGCCATTGAAAAATGGGATTTCTCTCAGCATCACTGTTGGATCCCCAGCAAAATGACAAATCCGAGTGGTAAATCATGTGCTAAGCAAGATGGCTGAAATGTGGACATCAAAATGGTTGAGATGTCCATTTCTGGGAAAAATACAATCAATGAACATCGATGAACATGTCACCGCAGGATTCCGAAGCATTCATCCCTTGTCTCCCAAAACATTCTTTGAAACGTGGGAACATCAGTTAAAAATCCACAGGGATGGGTACAGCACTAACAACGGACACGTTGGCACAATGTACTCAGTGGGAACGTCACTAAGACTAATTTTTGAAGGGCTGCACACATTGGGCAACTTTGTCCAGGATTTGTTGCTCATGTAGATTGAAAGGCTGGCGGCTGTCGAGGTCTTTGTTGGGAAGCGCAAGTTTTGCGTCTTGTGCAGGCTGCATCTTCTCAGCCTCCTCCTGGTCCTCTTCCTCCTCTGGCACCTGTTGCTGTTCTTGAGGTTCTGGGCGTGGGGATGCTTCAGGTGCGGGGTGCAGGGATGTCGGGATGCGGCGCCTAAATTGGCCTGAAATCAGGCCAATGTTGGCCATGAGCCAAGCAAGGTTGATAGCGTTTTGTGCAAAGGCCTCTTCTTGCCTTGGCGCGAGAAGCGTCCTCTGGACAGCCCCGGCCCCACGGGCCTTACGGTACGGGCCCTACGGGCCCACCTGCCGGGTATAGTAAGATTTGTGATAAGTGGCACAGGTTTTCTGCTTAAAGACAAGGAAACAGAAGGAAAAACAAGAAAGAGAAGAAAGAAAAGATAAAAAAAAAGGAAAGAGAAGAAGAAATAGAAAGACAGAAGGGACAAATAGCTCGAAGTCAGTTTCAGGTCAGCTTGAAGTAAAGTTGGGGTCACCTTGAGGGCACCTTGAAAGGCACCAAGATTAGAGAAGTTTGTCAGTAGGAGAGGAAAAGGAATGGAAAGACATCAGGACTAGAAAGGCCTGAACTGCCATTTTTTTGTAGTCCCCGTCCCTCTCGTATCCTTGTTTGTGCTTTCCTTGCTTTCCTTGCTTTCCTTCCTTTCCTTGCTTTCCTTGCTTTCCTTGCTTTCCTTGCTTTCCTTGCTTTCCTTGCTTACATTGCATGCAGCACAGACAGGAAAGTTTGACGCCAGGGCTAGAAAGGCTTGTTTTTGCCCCAAACCATCCCTCTTGGGACTGACAAGTTTCTTTTCCTTTTCTTCTCCTGCTTGTGCCAAGGGGCTGCGCAGAAAGGATATGAAAAGAATCAGGATTAGAACAATTTTTCTAGTTCTGCTTGCTTTCCTTTGCTGTCCTTGCCTTGCCTTTGCCTTCCTTGCATGTGCAAAGGGGTAACACGGAAGAGAAAGGTAGAAAAGTTTGTCCGCCCCAAACCATCCCTTCCAGGACGGGCAAGTTACTTTCATGTACCGGCAGCGCTTACTGTATGCCCGTCAGTAGCACAGAAAGGTTAGGAAAAGCATCAGGAGTAGAATCTACAGTAGAATAACTTGTCAATGCTACTGCGTGCCACGGCACTCTTTGGATGATGAAGCTGGGGCTGATAAGCTTTACTACTCCCGATTCATGTCTTTTGGGGTCCACAAGCCTGACGCCTGACGCCTGACGCGATGCTTTGCACTCAGTACTTCTTTGGGATAACCCATCAATGACGATCTACATGAAGCACCTATAATTATTGGGGAAATACTGTAAAATGAACATGTTTTGGGTGGAAATATATAATTGTAACTATAATCGTACGCAAGACCCTGAGGTTTGCCCGGACTCGCCACGAGCGTCCGGGCAAGCCAAGATGACGATGATGACGATGACGATGACGATGATGACAAGATGACGATGACGATGACGACGACGATGATGATGATGATGATGATGACGATGACGATGACGATGACGATGATGATGATGATGATGATGATGATGATGATGATGATGATGATGATGATGATGATGATGATGATGCTGACGATGAAGATGAGGATGAGGATGATGATGATGATGATGATGGTGATGATGGTGATGATGATGATGATGATGATGATGATGATGATGATGCTGATGCTGATGATGATGATCCTGATGATCCTGATGATCCTGATGATCCTGATGATCCTGATGATCCTGATGATCCTGATGATCCTGATGATCCTGATGATCCTGATGATCCTGATGATCCTGATGATCCTGATGATCCTGATGATCCTGATGACGACGATGACGACGACGACGACGATGACGACGACGACGACAACGACGACGCAACGACGAGGATGAGGATGAGGATGAGGATGAGGATGAGGATGAGGATGAGGATGAGGATGAGAGGATGAGGATGAGGATGAGGATGAGGGTGAGGATGAGGATGAGGATGGTGATGCTGTGATGATGATGATGATGATGATGATGATGATGATGACGACGATGTTGATATCTTCTTGAAACCCTATAAGAAACCCTCATGACTGTATGAATAATTGTTCCATGGGGCCGGGGGATGTTGATATCTTTTTGAAACCCTAGAAGAAACCCTAATGATTGTATGGTTACTTGTTCCATGGGGCCGGGGGATTTTGCTATGTTCTTGAAACCCTAGAAGAAACCCTGCTCTAATAATTGTATGGTTACTTGTTCCATGGGGCCAAGGGATTTTGATATGTTCTTGAACCCCTATAAGAAACCCCAATGACTGTATGATTAATTGTTCAATGGGGCCGGGCGACTTTGATATCTTCTCGAAACCCTATAAGAAAGCCTAATGACTGTATGTTTAATTCCATATGATATGTAGAAGCGACATGTTCTGGTCAACACCCTAGCAACATAATTCAACATAAAACCCTTCCTGTTGTTTGACGTTGTACAGAATTCCCTAGTATTTACGCTATATTTACGCTATTCTGGGCTTGGGCAAACCTCGGGGTCTGTGTGTAATATAATTATATATATATACACACACACACACGCAAGTATTGAGCAAATATATGAACACATCTTTTTCTACAAATATCTAGTCATTGTGAACAAACCCAACATGGAAATGCGATCAAAAAGCTGGGAATGCCATCCCTAAATCCGCAAGTATTTTATCGGCAAGAAAGGTGAGTCTGGTCAACCAAGAATCCTGTTGCAACCAAGTACTTGACCAAATCTGTCTGGATCCACGATTCTGAATCTAATATGAAGGTAAGGCTTATTCAGTTGGGCTGCAAGATTGACAGGAAATTCGGTGGTTTTTGAAAGTCCCAAACATGTTTCCACATGTTTCCCAGCTGAAGTTTGGCTCTTTCCATGGACAAACAGCCCCCATGGCGGTCACTTCAAAGTTTGAAGAAGCGAGTCTAGGATGTCATTCCTGTGGCGAGTCAGCTCCAGTTCCTTTGTTGGACCATCAGATCCAAAGTTTGAGTAGCCAAATTTATAAGGGATGCACACATTCAGCCCAGGCTTGGATAGCTGGCTGATCGCCAGCAATGTTCCGTGGAACCAAACATCTTTCAAAACGCGAAGCAAAACTATCCAAAACTTCTGGCCGAAATGGAAAATGATGGAAAGGCAATAACTAAATCAACCTGCCCAAGGAATCCCTGAGTCTTTCGGCTTGGTCCGGGACACCCAGCCTGCCTGTATTCCTCAAGAATGTACAGCCATTCAAAGACTCGTCGGTCAATCTGAGGATGCAAAAAGATGTTGGGGGTCCACTTGGATTACCATCATGAGTATAGTAATCCCTATATATATATATTAAGCATGTATGTTAATATTAAGGTAATTAGTTGTAAGATATTAAAGTAATTTTATAAGTACATATCCATACATATCCTATTTAAAAAAAAAAACGTCAGTCTATCTACCAGCTGGCATTTTGGGCTCTGCTGGACCTTGGTGAAGCTGCTTCTGGCAGAGTTGAAGTTTGCCTTTGCCTGGCCGAACATGTTGCGTGGCGAGAAAATGAATATGGGACCCATTGGGGCCCTTATATGCAGGAGCTCTTAGATATGAGCTCAGGTTGCACCATGTCACTATGTCACTTAGATTCTGCGGTTGATCTTTGCAGAAGGATCAACAAACCCTGACATCTTTCCTGGACTCAAAGATTCACAGGTAAAGGAAAGAACCCTGCAAAGGTGTCGGATTCAAAAGGGGCATCAAACGAACCACAAATCTCGTCTTCAGTTGCTGAACCCTCCATCTTTGGGTCAATGATTTTCAGCGTAGCCAAAAAGTCCATCAATTCATTCCTCCACACAGTTCATGCTCTTTCTTTCGGCACAATCACGTCTCAAATCTGCACTTGATGCATCCCCCTATTAAGGGGACACATGTGTCTTCATAGGCTAACACACTTCTGCACAGAACCACACCACATCGGCTAAGCTTGGCGGTTCTTGCGCCGGACGTGTTCCAGTAGCGGGATGTATGGACAATGTCCACCATCCACCGTTCCAGTTGACATGGAACTGTTCATTCTCTCAGAGGGGTGAGACGAGAGTTTGGTCAAAGGTGCGTTTCCACATTTGACTATGTACATGCGATCGGTGTGTCAACTCGCTTTTCAAGGGGTGAATATGGTGAACGGAAGGTCTTGAATTGCTTGATGAATGATCTTCATCAAAATTGGACATTCGGAGTAAGATCAGAAAAGCCTTGCAGGTTTGGATGCCCGACGTGGAAGCTGCCGTCCAACCTTTGGAACTCCAGCCACCATCTCTCCAGCGGACGACTAGTTAGCCACCGCTACTTGGTACAAGATCTACGACATCTACGAGTTGGATATCCTTGAGCCTGCGGTGTTTCCAAGACTGTCCCTGTATTTTTGGGACTTATCCGACTTATCCCCCTTCTTGCTGGTCATGCATTTCTGTTGCACCCCCCATTTTTCTGATGCTTAGTTACCAGATCTTCACGGGCTCAAGAGATCAAGACCTGCCAGGCACTCCCGAGACTGAGTAGGACCTCCCATTGTAGGCCGGCCGTTTCTGCAGTCGCGCCATGCTTGGGGGGTCCAATTGGCTGCGAAAGTCCTCAGCTCCCATTCGACTTCCTCCCAGAGGTACCCGCTCAACTTCCTGCAGGGGAGGTTGACTGAAATGGAGCAGTCCAAAGCCATTGCTTTCTCCATTAAAGATTGGCAATCACTTGGGTGACCCCCCGTTTGGGTTTGTCTGAAAACTGGGTAATCTATTCCATCCACTGGTTCATCATCATGTTCCCTGGTATATTGAAAAAGGCCCATTTTCTGGGGGGTATACAGCCCATTTTCAGACACACCCAAATATCATATATCCCCATATATCCCCATATTATATCCCCATAGATTGGTGATTTTCGACCCCCCCATGACTTAGCAGACCCTCGCAGGGACCCCTGCCTCCACCTTCTGCAGCCTCCGTAGCTGCTGCAGGACTTTGGTCATGTCATTCAACTGCTGCCACGTTTCCGACACCGCTGGAGACGTGGTTTCCGGCACTGGGCCCGGGGTTGGGCTCACTGTGCTCCAGCTACCCTGAAAGGACGCTACATCCTGGTCATCGACCAAACAGGTGGGTGTCAATCAACAAGGATAGCTGGGATTCAAGAATTCCATGGGCATTCAAGATGATGAGACTTTAACCAACAACAGTTCATTTGAAGATTCTTGGTTGAACTTTTGGGATTGCCTGGCAAAGGGAAATCACCTTTTTGATGTCTGTTTCATATCATTAGACCACCTACAAATGAGGATTGTCCATTGCCATGTTTACAAGAGGGTATGTGCGTGGTGAGCCATCAACTGGAGAGCCCACCAGTACCCCCAAAAAAATGCGAGTCACTTGGCCTGATCCTCTGTGCTCATAGTCGGTTTAAACAAATAGTTGAAACTACTGGTCAAAAACCTGAGGAAACTGGGCTTCATTGCCCCAACTCATTGTTGGCGATCTGAACTTCGTAGTCCAGTGAAGCCTATCCCTCTGAGTACCAGGCCTCCAGTTGCACTTGTAGACCTTGAACCCTTTCCAGGTCTGCTTTTTGTCGTAGCAGCTTCAGGACCGATGCCTCATGCGCTGTACCAAACTTGAGGCCCAAAAAGGATCCAAGACGGTCCGATCCAACAGCCCCTGCCGTGGGTGAACCCCCATCAAAATGCCATATAGTGACTTCACCAGCAACAATCCCATGAAAAGTGCCTAGCCATAGGACCCCATGAAAATATCTGTCAATTGACTACTTGGATGCCATTTGAGGACCCAATTTTCAGGTGGGGCCTGAAAGCCCTCCCTTCCCCCAGGCGCCTTCTCTGGCAGTCGATAGGGTCCACGCAGCCAGGCATGCTCCACCATCCTCACCAGGTCGCTGATGGCATCTTTCCAGCCCAGCTTCTCGCAGACGTCCTGCCGATCGGAAATCCCGTTGAAGCACTAGAAAAAAGAGACACGGAGGCCGGATGCACAAGACGCGCCTCCTGGCTTTTGCCACGTTTTAGACTCACTATGGTCACTTGAATCTGAATTGTTGAACTAATCATGGAAGTGCAAGTCTCTGATCTTTAACTAGAAAAGCATGTTCAAACGGATCATGTTCCAATTCCTTTCTTGTTTCAGGCTGGTCCAAAGTCATGGATGCCGCCAAACTTGCTGCGAGTCTTTGGTTGATTTGGGGCATCTGCAACCTCTGATCCAAGGGTTCAAGGCCATGCTATCGTCCTCAGTCGTGACACCAAGAAATTGAGCCACTTTCAGCACTCCCAGGGCTAAGTGATGCAGAGTAGTAGACTCCTGGGAGTTTTGGAGAATTTGAATCGGATTGCTCTCAAGGGAAGTCATCTAAAAGCAGGAAATTCATGGAAATTCCCATGTTTTCATGTTGAAATCCATGGAGTGGCCGAGTTCCCACTGTCAGTTTCCTGGGTTTCCTGGGAGGATATGGTTCTGTCTCAAGTGACTAGTCACCACGTCAAGCGGGTATGAATCAAATCGGCGTACCAATGGACCCCTGACCCTCAGAATGGGATGGAAGGTTTCACCGATCACAGCCATCTCTGATGTGAAGCCTTAGGGATTGTTTTTTGTACATCCAAATTCTTTGAATAGATAAAACCAAATTGTGTAAACCTACCTCCAACCGTCTTTTGGTTGGGTCTATCCAATTTTCTTGTGGGGTGATGACATCTCATCATTGTCGGTAACATCCAACCCTTCACAGGTTGGTTGAAGGTGAGGTGTATTGGATTACAATACCCTGCCATTGAATCAACCACTTCAAAAAATCAACCCAAACATTTTTTGTCTGCTTTGGATCCCCATCTGCTGAATTTAAAAAAAATGAATTTCGCCATGTCCCTCTGATTGGTTTAAAAAAATCCTCCTGCCTTTTCCCGGCAAAATCCCAACGACCGGGGTTGAGTTGGACCTCCAGCTGTGGCGGCTCCAACTTACCCTCGCCTTTGCTCGCAAGACGCTCCGACTCCTCGAGCGACAGTGGTAATCCATGGTAATCCCATAGGAGCAGATGGTGGTATGGGATGGAAACATGCAGAGACACACATGTATGTGTATGTATGTATATATATATATATATTATATTATATATATATATATTGTGTATTTAAGGGATTAAGAAAGAAAATAACAATCTGTGTTGTGAGCAAATATGCTGATACACCCAACCAATCATCTACAGATCCTTGAGTTACTATATCCGAAAAAAAGGACACAAAAGGCGGACATGACCAATCCAAATCACCACTCGTTGGCGGAGACAAGTGACCATCCAACCCCGTAACAACCCCCATGATTTACCTGTGACAGCCCGTAATTACTTTCTTAATTTCTTAATTATGGCCTTGAAGCCCTTTGAATTGATGAAGCGTCAAACACAGTGTGTGTGGTTTTTTGGTATGAAAGACCAGCTGACAGGGCAGTGCAATCAGGTCGAGGTCGTGAATCCAGGGTGCTGTTTGGAAACCTCGATGTTTTGTGGCCACCCTATGCCATTTTGGGGGTTTGGGTGAGTAGGGTATGGTGAAATTGATCCCTTCTAAGTGGAACTGCACCTGCAAGTATTATTTGGAAATGTACCCTCTGGTTATGAAAAATAGCTATGGACATGGCACGGCTGCAAATGAGTTATGATGATTTACCTATGAAACAGAATGATTTTCCATAGCAAACAGATAAATTACCAATGGGTATTTCACATGAAAACCTGCATTTATGCATTTATAGACGATCTTCCTATATTTTCCCAGCTATAAACCTCAATTGTACTCATATTATTTCCCCATTAAGACCCTATGGATCACATATCCCAGCTATAAACCTCGAAAGCCTATGGGATTTCCCCATCCCATTTTCATCCATGTTTCCCCATCGAAAAATAAACTCAAGTGCTATCCCCAACAGCTTGAAAGCTTCTGCGTTTTTGCCATAAAAAGTGCTTATGCAATAAAAATTAAGCGCTTATGCCATAAAAATTAAGTGCTTATGCCATTAAACAACATCGGAACCCTTTGGAATTTCACAAAGCATCTGCACCAGAACCCTCCGGAACCTCACAAGGTATCTGCACCCGAACCCTCCTTAGCCGGAACCTCACCAAGCATCTTCTCCGCCAAAACCCTCCGGAACCTCACAAGGTCTGAGTCTCTGCACCGGAACCTTCCGGAACCTCACAAGGTATCTGCCCCGGAACCCTCCGGAACCTCACCACATCTCACCACGCATCTTCACCTAGACCCTCCGGAACCTCCTCAGGTATCTGCACCGTAACCCTCCGGAACCTCACCGAGTACCTGCACCGGAAACTTCCGGAACCTCACAAGGTATCTGCATCGGAACCCTCCGGAACCGCACAGAACCCTCTGGAGCCTCAGCGGGTATCTTCACAGGAACCCTCCGGAGGTATCTGCACCAGAACCCTCCGCAACCTTGTCCGGAACCTGGTGTTGAAGCTGCACCGGATCGCACCGGAGCTAATCTGGGCTAAAGACCCCATAGCAAAGTTTTGCTGTTGGGGAAAAACCATGGATCACCAGCCCCAGCCCCAGCCTCTCGTAGGCCTTCCCGTAACTTGGCCATGTCTTTTTCACTGGCGCTGCAGGAATCGTTCATGGCCTCCAACCGCACGCTGACGAAGTGCTGCAGAGTCGTCACGCGCTGATCGCAGTGGGAGAAGCGCTGCTCTACCTGACATTTAAAAAAACTACGGTCTATGGAAAATCCATGAAATTATGCATAACTAATATTAATACATATTAATGCTAACATACATCATGTATTTATGTGTGTATTAATTGTGAATTAATTGTGTATTAACTGTGTATCTGTGCCATATATAATATACATACATGTGTGTGTGTTTACGCACACAGTACATGCATATGATAAAAGTATATTGTATATATATGTGTGTAATTATATATATATACGTATATGAGAATATGAATAATACTCATATAGCAGTTAGATAGGTGCACTTAGATTGATTAAACATGAATCAAAGGAGTCTTGTGCATTGGACAGAAGTCATGCCTCTTTCTCAATGAGCTCTGGAGTGGCACGGATCTCGGCCAGCTGCTTGGTCAAGTCATCGGTTTTTCTCAACCTGGGCGCAGGACAGAACCATACAGAACCAGCTTTGGATTTTGTTGTTGCGAATGTCCTGCTTGTGGTAGAACCTGGTAGAAGGTTTCTGGAAACATCGGTCTTTGTGAATCTATATATAGATTGGTGATCTATATATAGATAATAGATATGTGATATATCACTTTTGCTAACACAAAATGTGTAATTCGAAAATCTTCGAATTGAAAAACTCCAGGGAACTTTGGGGATCAAACCCCTGGAAATGAAAGGTCCGTGGAAAGAAATGGAAAAAACCAGTGAACAAAAATGAAAAAAAAAAAACATCAAAATAGCTCACACTGTCACACTTAATTATAGATCTTAAATGATCTTAAGAATTCTTCAGCCCCCCGAATGATCTTTCTACTCCAAATGTTGCGTGTGTTCGTTGAATCAAGGTGCCCCATGTACTGTACCAGGGTTTAGAACTTGACCTTATCTCCATCTCCGCTTGTGGTTGGCAAAATGGCCACTTTTGATCGGTCACGCAGTCATACTCATGATGTGTACGTTATCTATACATGAGTTTTTGACAAAATCTGCTTATCCTACCCGACATATCTGGTGTTAGTGCGCCCTGGACATTGTGAAGTGAAGACGTCGTGTTCTTGCTTCGTGTACACACTCAACTACACACTCAACAATGCCCGGGCACAACTCATTGACCCGCTGGGGGTCGGAAGTGAGAGCCTTGACCTCTTCTTGGAGTTTGGACAGCCACTCGTGCATTTGTTGCATCTCCGGGGATGTAGACGCTACTTGTGGCGAATCCGATGTCGATGCACACTTGGTGACTGGCTCGAGTGGCTGCGCGTGCTGTGGGCTCTGCTTGGCCAAAGTTTGCAGCTCTTCTCGAAGTGTTGCAATGTCTTGCCTCGAGCTTGCTGACTTCGACACTTCCTCCATGCACGCTGCCACCTCTGGATACAGCGCAGAAACTCATCCAAATAAAATGAATCTGCAAAGCAACAACCTTGTAGGGGGTTCTTTTGTGGATTCTGCCAGTTGTGCAGCCAAAGTGATGTTGATATATATATTGATATATCCTTTCTTAAGTCTTGACTTTAGTTGCTCGCAACTTAAGTCAGCCAAAATTGGACGATTCTGGTGCCACTACCGTCTTTGAACCATGATCAATGGAAACCAGCAAGTAGTTGCACAAATGATTGCACAAAAATACCAAAATGATCCAAAATGATCCAAAATGTGCAGTGATGTGCAGTGATGGAATGATCCAAACTCCTGCTGATTTTACTTCCTGAAGTTTGACAAAATCCCGCATGATCCCGCATGCGAGGCTCACGCCTCTTCTTGGAGTTTGGACAGCCACTCGTGCATTTGTTGCATCTCCGGGGATGTAGACGCTACTTGTGGCGAATCCGATGTCGATGCACACTTGGTGACTGGCTCGAGTGGCTGCGCGTGCTGTGGGCTCTGCTTGGCCAAAGTTTGCAGCTCTTCTCGAAGTGTTGCAATGTCTTGCCTCGAGCTTGCTGACTTCGACACTTCCTCCATGCACGCTGCCACCTCTGGATACAGCGCAGAAACTCATCCAAATAAAATGAATCTGCAAAGCAACAACCTTGTAGGGGGTTCTTTTGTGGATTCTGCCAGTTGTGCAGCCAAAGTGATGTTGATATATATTGATATATCCTTTCTTAAGTCTTGACTTTAGTTGCTCGCAACTTAAGTCAGCCAAAATTGGACGATTCTGGTGCCACTACCGTCTTTGAACCATGATCAATGGAAACCAGCAAGTAGTTGCACAAATGATTGCACAAAAATACCAAAATGATCCAAAATGATCCAAAATGTGCAGTGATGTGCAGTGATGGAATGATCCAAACTCCTGCTGATTTTACTTCCTGAAGTTTGACAAAATCCCGCATGATCCCGCATGCGAGGCTCACGCCTCTTCTTGGAGTTTGGACAGCCACTCGTGCATTTGTTGCATCTCCGGGGATGTAGACGCTACTTGTGGCGAATCCGATGTCGATGCACACTTGGTGACTGGCTCGAGTGGCTGCGCGTGCTGTGGGCTCTGCTTGGCCAAAGTTTGCAGCTCTTCTCGAAGTGTTGCAATGTCTTGCCTCGAGCTTGCTGACTTCGACACTTCCTCCATGCACGCTGCCACCTCTGGATACAGAGCAGAAACTCGCGGATCAGATTTAGATTGCACGTACAACAGCATGCAACTGGATGCAACTTGGACACTCGATGGATCGGATATTGGCACCAGTGCAATATTTTGAACTAATGTGACTTGCTCAGAAAAGCATCGACTATAAAAAGTTTGTCTGTTGTGGACTCTGATGCTATTTGTGCAGTCGGTGATCCTGACTCAGCTTCTTTCACCTCAAGTCAACAGTACCAAATGACAAAGATCCGCGTTGGAGGTTTGTCCAAGCGGAAACCTAGATCAATGCACCACCAAAAAGTGTCTGCCTGGAATCATGCTGGTGACCTCAAAAAGTTGTCACAAAATTGTGCAGTTTGTGCTGTGATTGCGTCACTAGTGACGGCCTTGCGCTGTGGATGCTATGGAGGCGGGTGCCCAAAAGGGCTGAGCGAATATCGCGCCGGTCGTAGAATCAAGAAAAATCACTACTCAGACTGTCTCAGACTCATAATCAATATATTATATTATACTATATTGTATTATATTATATTACATTATATTATACTATATTGTATTATATTATATTATATTATATTACATTATATTATATTATAGTATAGTATGCTATATTATATTATATATTATATATTATGTATTATGTATTAAAAATTATATATTATATATTATATATTATATATATTGTATATTATATATATATTGTATATTATATATTATATATTATATATTATGTATTATCTATTATAGTTTATACTATATTATATTATATTATATTATATTATATATTATTTTATATTGTATTATATATTATATTGTATTATATTATCTCATATCATATCATATCACATTATATCATATCATATCATATCATATCATATTATATTATATTATGTTATATTATATTATATTATATTATATTATATTATATTATATATATATATATATCAATGAATTTTCCCACCTCCTCTTGGACTTTGGACCATGCGTTTCGTGATGATGTCATCTCCTGGGATAAAGCCGTCATCGACTCGTGCAGTGCTTGGACCTCTGGGGATGTCTCACATTTGGTGACCAGTTCTGTCATTGCCTGCTGCAACTGCTGCAACTCACTCTGCTTGGCTAAAGTTTGCAGCTCTTCTCGAAGTGTTGCGATGTCTTGCCTCGAGTTTGCTGACTCCACGGGACCTGTCGCATCACGCAGGCCGTGAAGTTCCTTCCGCAGCAGTAGCAGTTCATCGCTGAGATTCACCAGGCGCCCAGTGACGGTGCCACTATCATCTCCCCGCTGCGCAGCGGCTGCAGCCCCAGCGGTTTCAGCCAGGCATTTCAAGCGGCCCTCGTGCTCTGAGACCTGTGCGCTGATGCCTTGCTTCCAGCGCAACAAATCTTGTTTCACGGTGGGAGACAACAGCTGCATCTCATCCACCAGGGCACCGGTTTGTCGCCAGAGTGAAGTCATTTGCTCTTGCAACTGTTGCAGTTCTTTGTGAACGGTCGCACACTGCTCAGTTACATGCTCCAGCTGGGGACCCTGGGGATGGACCGCTGGTTGATCCCTGGTTTTCTCCAGAGTTTTCTCCAGCTCCTCTCTGAGAGCAGAGAACTCCGCCACTTGCGCAGCTGAATCAGCCAGGTGCTGAGTAGCTGTCCTGGGTCGGAAATGTGTTAAGGCTGTTAAGGACCCAATCCACGCGAATTCATCCACAATCAATGATTCATCAAATGACTTCAGAACAAGGCCTGTTCAAAAACTGGCATGGCTTGTATAAGAATGAGGTTGTGAGCCCTCCCAAAACCCACCCGTAGGATTGCCAACTGTTCATCTTCTCTTGTCCGGCTTTGGATCAAGCCCGGTGCCCTGGTTTTCTTAAATCAAAATAGCATTCTTGCCCATCACGACAGATTCCGGCCCTTAAATATTATTATGAATATCATATAATATTTTATGTCCATCCCAAGTGGTATATGATGTATATGTTCAACCCATCCCCTCCAAGACCCAGTTTTTCATACCGGACCCAGCATCTTTTCCGTGAGTTTGGCCACCTTCCACTGCAGCTCGCGGAGCCCCGAGTTGGAATTCTGACAGCTGGTGGCCAGCTGATCCATCCGCTGTGACAGCCGTGTAACGTCACGACCTGGGACCGATCCTTCGACCGAGACCTGGGAGACCTGGGAGATCTGGGAGATCTGAGATGACTGGGATGCCATCTTTTCTTCAAAGTCATCCTTCAGTTGAAGCAGACTGGTTTCCACATATTTCACCAACTTCTCAAAGGTTTTCTTCTCGACCTTCTCGACCTTCTCAGCCTCCAGTTGATTCACTCGCTCAGTCAGCTCCGTTACCAGCTGCGGCTGCAGCTCTAGCACTTTGGAGATCTGGACCTGTTGGATGCCCCGATCTCTGGCTGTCACAAAAAATTGAGACGGGGATCTTGGACATATGGTGGATAAATGTTTCTATACATCTATAGAATTCTATAGATATATTGAATCATATTGAATCTATATACATTACCATAGATGGAAGGATGGATCACATCAACCAGATCCGAAACACGAGTCACAGAACTTGCCACTTCGATGCAGTGTCCCCCAAAAAATGGCCGATCGCCCTGCTTGCCCAAAAAGGGGGTTGAACGAAACGGTGGTAGTTGCCGCAAGATGATACATGGTTATACATGGGGTTATATGGCTATGGATCAATACCTATACATACCATTTTTAGGGGGATGAACATCCATTTACCAGCTATTTTGATGTTCACCAGGGGGATAGGGTTTTGACCCATCCCGATATTGTATATACAAGATGGGGATATTTACCACCCAGCATGGTTCGATAGCATTTCGAAAGATGACCCTCCAACCGCCGCCTCCACATCTTGGCCGAGCTGTTGAGTGAGTTGCAGTTTCAACGCAGAGAGTTCTCCTGGATGGCATAATGAGATGCAAGAAGGATACAGGGATTGCCCTAATGGATTTTGATAATCCATGATAATCCCGAATATATTGGTTAGATGTGCTTAGATGTGGTTAGATGGCATCAACCAACAGAAGTTTTGAGGCTCATCCCCTGGAAACCAATTCCACCACCTTTCGATGGATTTACCCACCCCGATGACTTGACCCATACCCATGAAGTCTCATGTAGATTGTATGTTTTATACATAAGAAGCATGTAAATATGTTATATATAATGTTATATACATAACATGATATTATAATTATTGCTTTATATTGTATATGTAGATGTATATATATATATGCCATAGATTGACATAGGATATGTATGGAATTTGTATGGAAATTCTATGGAAATTGTAAGTCTCAACTCTCAAAATCCAGGTGTCCATCAAAGCGCTGATGCATCTGCGCCACTTCTTCCCTGAGACATGTCATCTCTGAGGATCGACTGCCCAAGTCGTTGCGCACCACCATGGACGTCACTTCCAGGCGTTCGCACAGAGACTCCACCTGGAAAAAACCACGTTGCAGCTGATGAGAAAACCTATGTCTGATGGTAGATTAACATAACTATCAGATATCTCCCAGATATGAATGGTTTATAACATGTCATACCGTCTGGTAAATTAACAAAAAACTACGGAAAATCACAATGTTTCATGGGTAAATCAACTATTTTTATGGCAATTTCCAATAGCTATGTTAGTTTACCAGAGGATATCTGATGGTGAAATCTCCCTTTTTTGTGTTGAGATTTCTGAGATTACTATGTCGGATGAAAGTACTCCCATCAGCCACTGGTGACCTTGGAGTTCAACTCCGGCAGGTTGCCTTGTGACACTTCTGCCTGGTGCCGGGTTGCAATGGTGACCGCAAAAGGGGTAGTAAAGGAACCCCCAATTCTTTCGCTTTTAGGCTTTGAAGCATCCAGTTTTTCCAGTCAAGCACTAAGTTGTCTGTTTCAAATCACCCAATCAAATCATCCAAAATCCTTCAAGTTTCTCCTGGTTTTGAAGCCACCCCAAGTCACCACCCGTACCACTCCAGCCTGGGTCTGTCTCAATTCATCTTGCACTGCTGCAAGGGCGGAAGGTGCCACCTCCTTCACGTCGCGCGCCCGGTGCACAGCGACCTCCAAGCCGCTGTAGAGACTCTTCCTCGGTGCGGGGTCGAAATATCACGTTGGAACCCTGAAAATCGACTGAGCACAGTAGATTGCTACGGGTAAACACGTGGGACAGCGTCAGGCATATGGATTTTTTGTAGGTTCATGATGTGTGGGGTATGTTGTAGGGTCGAGAACAAATTAAGGTTGCCATACCCAAATCCCTCTGAGACTGACAGCCATCATTGCTGCCTGGGATTAGACTGCAAACTCAGAATCTGCACCCAGCCACATACCCAAATAAGACGACAAGCACTTAGGTCATAGGTCTGTCCAAATTTGGATCCATCAAAATGCACAAGTTGCTAGTCCATGCTTCATGGTCGAAACCAAAGTGGCTTTGGGTTGTCTCCCTTAGTAATTTGAAAAGAACAAAAGATCAACCGTGATGTCCAAGAGTGGGAAAACTGCAATTAGGCACCATATGGCACCATTAAACAATTTAAACCAGTTGTATAAATCATTTCAACCATTTGATCAATTTAAGTACGTTAAATAATTCAAGTCATGTAAATCATTTAGCCATCGGTTGTTCAAAACAAAGCGCTGGCGGGAAAAGGATGTATACTTGGGGGCGCATCCCAGTTAGTAAGTGGATACTACCCCATACAATAGTGGGGTATATCCCATATACATACATATATTAGTGGAATTTCTACCAGCTACTCCATATTGTTGGTGATATTCCATGACATATGCCAGTCAACCTCTCATAATTTCTACCCATTAGAATCACTATTATATACACTTGGCTAACATCCCCCAAAAAGCTTTGTTGGTTTTCACATCCATAAAGTATCCCAAAAAAACATCTATATAACCATTATAATTGGTGACCTTCCGCCCCAAGAGAAAAACATTGCTTCTTACCCTCCGTTGATCAAACATGGCTTGCTGGAAAATCCACCATTGAGTTACAGTTCGATGAACTTCCCACTAATACTATCCAGTTGCAGTATACAGGATTTCCTAGCCAGCCATTTTGACTACTGGAAGGTAAATCTCATGATATTCCCATGATCTGAAATTGCATGAAATTCCATGAAATGATGGTAAAATCCCCATGTCCAAACATCTTCAAACAGGTTTTAGGCTATCCATTGAATCTCTGGTGTTGATGGTCACATCCACATGTGTTTATTCTTAAATAGGTTTTATATAACGGCTCCGGGAACGGTTCCATTGAATCCATGGGAAACATCCATGAGATTCCCCTGGTGTTGATCCCCTTCTGAAATCCTGAATTTTCATGGTCAAATCAGGAGACATGTCAAAGTCCATTGCCATTTTTTGAGGGTAAAATCCCCAGGTGTTGATTGTTGTATAAGTTACAGTATATCGAAATTAAAATCCATTACATCCATAGGAAGCATTAGCATGAAATCCCCATGAATTTTAAGGTCAAATCTCCATTTCCAGACATCTTCAAACAGGGCTATCACATGCTATCACTCAAAAAAACATCCCATGAAATGATGGTAAAAAAGCTGTACTTTGGATGATAAAATCATGTAAAATCTCCAATTTTCAAGGCCAGCTGCACATCTGGCACCACGACTTCCAGCTCCTCCAATCGCGTCTTCACAGCCTGGAGCTCCTCGAGGATCTGTTTTGCAGCATCTTGGGCGCGATGGTCCTTTCCACACGGAGCTTTCCGGGAGAAGCTGATGGAAAACCCATGGGGAAATCATGGAGAATCTGGGAAACCCCATGGAAAAATAATGGAAAACCTTGGAAAACCCACGGGAAAATACGTGGAAAACCTATGTCAGCCAACATGCACCATGAAAAGGTGTCGACTGGAGAAGATATCGACAGACCAAGAAGTTTCGACATGCAGTTCAGATGTTGAGGATCTTTGGCCATGTGCTGAGTCAGCTGCTGCAACCAAGGATCGATGGTTTGATGCCCACTTTGCCTCAAATGGGAGAGCTCCTGCCAAATGAAACATCCCATGGTGTCCGATATCGACTGGGCCATAGTGCCATTCTTGCTGCAGCGCCATTGTGACTTATGCATGTTCACACACCTTGCCCGCAAAATAGACATCGAAAAATTGATGTTCCATGACTGGACTTTGCTACTATTTCTGCTTGGAGAAATTAGTTTGTGTGTTTCCAGTGTGTCGCCAAACTCAACTGATGCCATCCAATCATACCAACCATACCAAACCATTCAACACCATTCAACTACAATTACCAACCATCCCAACCACACAAATGATCAAACCCATCATCAACCCCTTCAACCCTCAGCAACGACAACCCAAGCCAGTTGGCTTCGGTTGGTCTGAAAATAGGTGTCCCCTTAAGTTTCCTACTTTTAAAACAGCTGTTTCTGGGGTATCCCCTTCCATTTGTTGATTTTCCATGATTTTCCCATCACCTCCTGGGGATTTGCCAGCCATGACCCAGGTAGGTACCCCCTTTTTCCACCACGAGCCGACCACGACCCACTCTCCTCCCGGAAGTCTTTCCGCAGAGCCTTCCCGGTCTTCAGCAGTTCGTCCTCCAGGTGCTCCTCCAAAGCCCGGAATTTCAGCTGCAGCTCCTTCCACGGTCGCACCGGGATCGCCTTTTTTTGGGACGGATCTGGGACTGGGACTGGGACTGGGACTGGGACTGGGACTGGCTTACCCCCAAATCCAGAGAATGATCATGAATTCTTTGCCAATTCTCAGCAGGTTCCATGGTAAAGTGTCTGGAAACATGGCAAAAACCAGGCACTCTTCAATAGAACAGTCTAGTTTGGTGATCTCCATCCCATTCAAACCTCACTTTATAGTGGATTTCCCATTAAAAAATTGTGATTTTCCCATCAAAGCCGCCATAAACAATGGTGATTTTCAGCTTGTGACCCAAATCCCCTCTCCTCCACGCCCTCGTTCTTGGGAGCCAACCTCGCGGCTGAAGGAGACTGGGATCTTACCAAAATGGTTGGTTAACCATTAAAATGCTGGGTCTCAGCATCAAAAATGCAGGTTTTACCAAAGAAAAGTTGGAAACAACGATGCAAAAGGAACAAAGGATGTCTACCAGCAAGACTTTTTTTTTCCGCCTGGATGAAATCTCGTTTGGACGATGCAGGGGGGGCGATGGACTACCATCCCTGGTCAAAACCATCGGGTCACTTTCCCTTATCCACCAGCCAAAGGCGGGTTCAACTCATCCACTGTCTCAGCGCCGGGCGGAGTGAGCCGAGCTTGAGTGTCTTGTACATCAAGCAAGCCTCAGCGGTAGACCAAAAATTGCAATCTTGATTGCTATGAAATTATATAGATATCCAACCCTCCAGATTGGGACACCTAATGTTGGTTTCCTTTAAAATATCAAAAAGATTGAACTGTATTGCAGTTTTCTAAAATGGAGCTACCCCATTTTATCATCCAACTGAACAAACGCATGCCGCATGTCCGGATAATAAACCAACCAGCTATTGGGGATCCCTCATTTATGGAAACCCCCATATCTTACATGGAGTCCGACGTGAGTCAATTGCAATTCTCCGCGTCTGCAGAATGTCCAGCAGCATGTATGGCCCAGCGGCATTGGATGGGTGAGGACTCAAAATTGCTGACGAATTGCCAGAATCAGCGCCATTCATGGATTGAAACTGCTTATTAGCTGCATGCATGAAGATACACATATATATATGTGTGTGTGTGTGTAAATAAATAAATAAATAAATAAATAACTGGTTGCAGTAACTCCAGAATAATTTACCAAGGTCACCAAGAATTCCCAATGGCATCGCTTCACTTCGCCTTTGCGGTCAAGGCGCCTTCCTCGATGGCTGCAACTCGAACCTCCAGAGGCAGGCTCATCACCTCCGCTGAGCGCTTGGCCACAACAAGGTGTGTGTGAGCAAATAGTGCGCGTATCTTATATATATACATATATCTATGTATATATATCTATCTATCTATATATATATACACATAATTATAGCACTATCTGTGGAGCAGCATGTATATTCATCACATAGACGTTCACAAATCTTGACTTCAGTGACCTTTCATCTCCAGGCACGGGGCCTTTAGCCATTCAAAGCAGCATCCGCTCCAGGTGCGGTGAGTTTTCCGCGTGCGAAACGCGTCTGAAAGGCAGGATCACAGCCGAATGGATATCTCCTGTGCTGTATGTGTTTTACCTATTATCATATGTGTATGACATGTATGTATATATTAATATTTATATACATATATATATATATACAAATATATATATATATACAAATATATATATATATACAAATATATATATACATATATACATATATGTATATATAAATATATTTGTATATATATATAATATGTATTGCCTACAGGATATGGGAATGGGATGATCTTGTTAATGTTGTTGTCGTTTTCTGTTGCATCTCGATGCCTCATACTTCTGCAACTTGATTTGGGTGAAATCAACAGATCTTGCTGCTTTGCAGCCGGGACTCCCGCAACTTGAGCCATGCACAGCGTATGCAGAAATGCCACAGGACCAATAAAGCTACCAATGAACCTCCCAAAGGTGGGCCCCAAACAGGTATTGGGATCAAAATATGTCGAAATGAGTGCTGAAAGATGGGATGCGTAGTCACTGAAAACGACCAACGGCTGGGGTTTCCCGATCCTTCATTCTTGTTGAGCCATGGCCAAATGGAAAGAAGAGAGAGCACCTTGTACAATTGAGCCATCCACAATTCATGGAGAAGACTATGTCTATCTACTTTGGCACCAAGTCAGGAGTCTGCTCCACCTGAAGGTACTTCGGATCGCTGGCACAGTAGTTTCGGTAGTAGGTCCTATTCATCTCCTGGTGAGCAATGCCCAGTTGCCCGGTGATGCACATGAGGCTGGGGCAATGAAAACCGCATGTGGTTTTATTATGATTTGTTGGAATTTTCCAACCAAGGAATAACATTCACAAACCATCACAAACCAATCTGAGCGTGTTTACCAACAAATCTGGACACCTCCCTTGGTTGTATGGGCATGCCGCGGCCTGCCTATCAAAGAGATATATAAATATATCATGACCAGAAACACAAGCAAATCACCCGAAGAAATGACGGATTATGGGGGGTTAGGGGATGATCGCAACCTACGTACAGAAAATTGTGACATGAATCCACCAGCAGAAGAGGCGGCAAAGGAGTATTTCAGGCAGGCATGAAGTCCTAGTAGTTTACCATATTATAGCTATACTTAATGACTGGGGTCAAAGCTTGGTAACTGAGAGATGGCCAACTGAGGAAGGCCTCAGTAGATGGCACCCTCAGGTCCCAGCTTGGTGCGGATGATTGGTCCAGATCTTTAACGCTTCTTCTGATGTTTTACCCCCTGTTTTGCTGATCAAATCCATGGTTGTTTGCTGCTTCTATATACCCCACTTGCGGTAGTTCAATCCCATGTCCGTTGATCGAAAAATCAAAAAAACTTGATCTTCCTTTGTCATCTTTGATCGAAACATCCTTTTGGTTGCTTGAATCGCCCACCCTTTAGCTAGACACTACGTACATATTCCCATTGGTAATTAATCACATAACCACGGAGGGACAATCTGGTACAGTAAATGTAAACCCAAGTGAATATACCCCGCTTGTTTCAAGGTTCGAAACGAACACGTGGTAAACCTGGTATGTTTCATCTCAACAATACAACTGGTAGTTCCTGGTTTCCTGAAGCAGAGGCAAAACTTTTCCCCGTTATATATTCAACCATCAATCATCAATCGATCAAACATCGATCGACCAGCATTCAACCCTCAATGGACCATCAATCAACCATTGATAGCAACATCCCCCCCTGAAATACTGACCCGTTGTCATTTATCAATCATGTCCCCAGCTGTGGTTAAAAATTCCTACAAATGATCATTGAATCCAATCTGGCTTTGTCTGAGACTTTAGGGGTAAAACCCATAAAATCCCATAGTTTATCATCATGTTCCAAATCAAAATGGCTATAGGATCCTCAAATTTTAGACACACCAAAATCCCAAGGCATCAGATTGTTGGTTAAAAAAAAAAAAACATGTCTCCCATGGTTTGGTGGTTAGAAATCCACCTTTCCATAACACCATTGATGTAGACACGCCCAAGTATCAAATTGCTGGTTAATTATATATTCCATGAAAAATGCGATGATATCCCATATCCTACCAGCCTACCATATGATGAATCCATATCTTCATGACATCTATCTTGATGGCATGTACCCTCTGGTTTAAGAAAACATGACTATTGAACATGGCCATAGAAATTGTTGATTTACTAAATTTACCCACTCAAAAATGGTGATTTTCCATGGTTTTTTGTTCATTTACCAGAGGGTATATCCACTAGCATCCCTGTTTTTTGGTTGATTGAACCCCTATAATCACCATTAAATCCCATTAAACCACCATTTAATCACCATTAATCACCATTTCCACCTCATATCTCCTCAAAGAGCCGCTGGGCATTTCTCAGCTCCACCATGCGGCGCTGACGAATCTCCAGTTTGGTCTGGCGATCTGAAGATGGACCAAACTGCTTGGGTTATATCATCCAGGAATTAAAAGATCGCCATCACTTATGGTTGGGATATGGTTGGGTTATATCATCAGGATATGAATCTTGATGGAATTAACGGCTAAATTGATTCATATCACGTGGGATATATCCAGAAACAAAACGGCATGATTCTAGAGCTAAACTAGCCAAACGTCATAAATGTATCACAATCTGTTTGGGAGAATTAGCAGAATCTATCGCTGGGATATATCATGACTGAAATAATAGTTAGGTCGAATAGTTTATGTACACGTATACCAGCTGTACGATTATATTCACTACCAATCATATCTGGACAACGAGGATCATGGGATAATTATTCCAATCCTATCCACCGTATGTACATATATATATATATTATGTATACATGCATATTTATATGTACGTAAAATATATATATATACGTATATATAGAGAGAGAGAGAAGGAGGGAAAGAAATGCAATTGCAATTATTATTCCAATTATGATTCATGATGATTATAAGCTTTTGTAAATGCTATCCTCTCCGCATTCATTGTGTAACTGGACTCCAGAGTTGACATTCAATCGTTCCACCTAGGGACGGACAAGTCTTGACGGAGCTGAGCAGAAATTGGATCTCACCAGCCATTTTGATCCTGTAAGTCACTGTCAACTGGAATCCTCCAGTACTTGCATTGCTAAACAATATGGAACTCATCCCAACATGTGCCTGTCGCATCCCACATCCAATCGAATAGGACAATCATAGCACTACACTTCCACTCTCCAATCCATCTTCCGCGCGTGCCTTCAATTGGCGATTGTTGGCCATGTGGCTCTGCAAGGGATCCAAAATATTGAAGACCCTGCGCGCAGCAGGGCATAGGATTCCAAGTGTTGACCCTACCCCCCAAGTGACGGATACAGTTTACCCTGACGGGGAGGATGTGGAAAAATGAGGCATGCCACAGAATTGTTTCCTTACTAGATGAAGCCGTTCTGATGGGGGTTCGGGGGTAGGAAGGTGTACATACACCATGATAGACACACATTTGATTGGTCACGTAAAATTCCATGGTAATCCTCTGTCCGTGAAGTCTACCGCAGTTTTCGGACATACCCCGATTTGCATCACTTGCTCCTTGGTTGCCTTCTGATTCTCGAACATGGCACTGGAAATTCCCCCACGTAACTACATGTTCCTGTTATATTCCCCATGATATATGGGTATGGGTCAATACCTATTAATACCATTTTTAGTGGGATGAACATCCATTTACCAGCTATTTTGGGGTTCACTAGGTACCAGGGTTTTGACCCATCCCCATGTTGGTAAATTGTTTTTTTAATATCATTTAACCAGCATTATCCCCATCATTAGTCAATATTCCCCATGATATCCCCGGCTCCCGCACATGTCTCGCTGAAGCTTCGCCACCGCGCCTGCGGCAAGTTGCTGCCAAGACTCTGACATACCCTACATAGTTTCAGGATGGCCTAAAATAACCTAAAATATTGGTGATTGACTGCTGAATCACAATGAATAACGATATGTAGTCTACGTCTATGTCAGATGTTTGTGTTGTAGAAATCCGTGCTATGTTGATAGTGATGTGTTTCTGTTTCTTTGCGGGAATTTTATGATTGTAAGAGTCTCCTTTGCATCGGGTCAGCTGGCATAAATTGGCCAACCTGGATTACTATAGGCCCATAGGCCTTCTTGGAGATCATGATTTTGTGCGAAATCGTGTGAGGCTGATTGAATTTTTGAACCAGAATGTGGAGGCATGGTTTTACCTTTTTTTTGGAATCTACTGCAACTTGAGATCGATATTGAAAACTCACTATTTGTAGATCAGTTCCATATCTATGTCAGCACCTGACCCATTACACCGTTTCCCACGACAACCGGGCGCGCTGTGGGGAGCGTCTGCACGGGCAATCCGATTGCAGGCCTTCACCGTTCCCAGTGGATTACCCCAATGGCAGACCAGCAAATAGCCCAATCATCCCATGGAGGATTGGAAAACGTACATCATCATCATCATCATCATCAACACCGTCAGCAACATCATCATCATCACCACCGTCAGCATCATCATCATCATCATCATCATCATCAACACCGTCAGCAACATCATCATCATCACCACCGTCAGCATCATCATGATCATCATCATCATCATCATCATCATCATCATCACCGTCAGCATCATCATCAGCATCATCATCATCGTCACCTCCTTCAGCATCATCATCATCATCATCATCATCATCATCATCGGCATCATCATCATCATCATCCTCATCATAATCATGTTCAAAATCATCATCACAAGCGTCAGCATCATCATCATCACCAGCATCATCATCATCATCAGCAGCAGCATCATCATCAGCATCATCATCATCACCACCATCAGCACCAGCGTCATCATCATCATCATCACCACCGTCAGCATCATCATCGTCATCACTATCAATATCATCATCATCATCATCATCATCATCATCATCACCAATGTCAGCATCACCATCAGCACCATCATCATCATCCCCACCGTCAGTACCATCATCAGCATCATCATCATTACCACCGTCAGCATCATCATCATCATCACCATCATCATCATCACCATTATCATCACCACCATCATCATCATCACCACCGCCGGCATCATCATCATCATAATCACCACCATCATCATCAGCATCATCATCATCATCATCTTCATCATCTTCATCATCACCACCGTCAGCATCATCATCTGCATCATCATCACCTCCGTCAGCATCATCATCATCAGCATCATCATCATCACCACCGCCAGCATCATCATCAGCATCATCATCATGATCATCATCTTCATCATCTTCATCATCATAATCACCATCACCACCGTCAGCATCATCGCCAGCGTCATCATCAACATCATCATCACCATCATCATCATCATCATCGGCATCATCATCATCATCATCATCCTCATCATAATCATGTTCAAAATCATCATCACAAGCGTCAGCATCATCATCATCACCAGCATCATCATCATCATCAGCATCATCATCAGCATCATCATCATCACCACCATCAGCACCAGCGTCATCATCATCATCATCATCATCCCCACCGTCAGCATCATCATCGTCATCATCATCATCACCACCGTCAGCATCATCATCATCATCACCATCAGCATCATCATCATCAGCATCACCGCCATCAGCATCATCATCATCATCAGCATCATCATCATCACCATCATCATCATCGTCCCCACCGTCAGCATCATCATCATCATCATCATCGTCATCATCATCAACATCACAATCATCATCGTCATCATCAGCATCATCATCAGCATCACCACCGTCACCATCATCAGCACCATCATCATCATCACCACCGTCAGCATCATCATCGTCATCACCATCATCACCATCATCATCATCATCACCTCCGTCAGCATCACCATCAGCACCATCATCATCATCACCACCGTCAGCAACATCATCACCACCGTCACCATCATCAGCACCATCATCATCATCATCACCACCGTCAGCATCATCATCGTCATCACCATCATCATCATCACCTCCGTCAGCATCACCATCAGCACCATCATCATCATCATCACCACCGTCAGCAACATCATCAGCATCATCATCATCACCACCGCCAGTACCATCATCAGCATCATCATCACCACCGTCAGCATCATCATCATCCTCATCCTCATCCTCATCATCATCACCAGCATCACCATCATCATCATCACCAGCATCACCATCATCCTCATCATCAGCATCATCATCATCACCACCGTCAGCATCAGCATCACCATCATCACCATCAGCAACAAGATCAGCATCATCATCATCATCATCATCACCAGCATCATCATCACCATCATCACCAGCATCACCACCATCACCATCATCATCATCAGCAGCAGCATCATCATCACCGCCATCAGCATCAGCACAATCATCATCATCACCAGCATCATCACCATCATCATCATCAGCAGCAGCATCATCACCATTACCACCGTCAGCATCATCATCATCATCAGCAGCAGCAGCAACAGCAGCATCATCAGCATCATCATCATCATCACCATCACCCTCACCCTTCCCATCATCATCATCATCATCAGCATAAATATAGTACTGGTAATAGAATGTAAAAGACTACATTATTAGACAGTAATGATATAATGATATGTAAGAATGATGATAATAAGAAGAATAATAGTCATCATCACCAGCATCAATCCTGAATTTCGAAGCAGAAGAGCACCTCTCTGAAGTTGCAGCCATCCGACAGCATCTGACCATGCACCTCCAGTCATTGCTTGGATCCCCGTCGCCAAAACCTAACAAATGAAAAAGGACATGATGTGACTCTTAAGAAATTGCCCAAATTTGCCTGACATCAGTGTGTGTCCATACAAACATGTGTCTACAACTCTATAACAATATATATATATACATATATATATACATACATATATATATATACATATATATATATATAATGCAGAGATAATCGAAAATATGTAGACGGAAATGTGTGGACGGTTCGATGGATTTGACAGATCGAAGTATCGCCAAAACGAAGCGATCCGTTGCGGACCACGCCGCGCTCTGAGGCAGTGACCTCCTTGGAGGTCGCTGCGTGCATCCCGTCAGCAAGCACCAACATACCTCGGGAGAGCTCCTCAACACCTGAAGCAGAAGCAGATGCCAAATGTACTGCATCTTCAAGGTTTACCAAATTTACCAATGACATAGGGAGGTTTGCTTCTTCCGAGTCATGTAATGTAATTATTGCTTCAAAACGCCCTGTTTCTTGCCTCCAACCTCTCATGTTCTGGTCCAAAGTTCGCTCGATAGAAGTCTCAAACAGTCTCACCACAGTAACGTCCACGCCCGCAACATCCCGCACCTTTCATGTAAGCCAGCACCTGCTGGTATACCGTTGACAACAAATCATCGAAGGTGCAAAAGTCTCGCACCTGAGTCAAAGTGCAAAGATGGCGATGCGAGGGACCAAAATAGATAGGTCTTGGGCTCTTGGGAAGAAATTTACGCAAAGCAAAGGGGATGTGTCATTATCGAAAGCAAATGTATGTGGAGGTATCAGGTGGTAACTGGTAGTTGGAATGATCACAAAACAATAAAACTGTCAATTGCGATCACCAATAGCGAACAACAGCTGCCAGCAGTCGCCAACAACAAGAAGAAAAGAAAGAAGAAGAACAAAAACCAAGAATTCCATGGTTTAGAAGTTTAGAACCTCATTTTACCATATTTTACCATAATTTGAACATATTTGAACCATATTTTACCTATTACAGTGGCCATGAAGAAGGGTGTTTCAATGTGTTTCATCATTTTCCGAGATGTTCTCCCAGCAACCGGGGCTCCGGGGCTCCGGCGATTCCCTCGAAGACTGGATCAATGGGCTCATCTTTGAACCATCTTTCCTGCGAAACAAACCAGAAAACCGCAGAAAAGCAACGGGACGCAACGTTCGTTTTCAGGGGCGCAAAATTCAAAGATCTGCCATTCTGACACGTTTCTCCAAGCGGTAACCAACCTCTTCTTGAAATGCGCGTGGGGAGGCATTGCGTGGCAGTGCGTTCATCTAGAGGTGTGAAATTGTCAAGCCCAACTCCTTCAAGGCATTCCAACTTTCCTGCGGGAACGAAGTGGAGAGCGTTTACCCCCTAAGAACTGGAGCTGCAACTGGGACAGTCGGGTCAAACATCAACTGCCGACGACCAACTTGGGGATGTTTGTTGAAAAGCACCACGTGGGATGGAAAAATCACATGCCCTGCATCAATTGGAACAACATGGCAAGATTGGATCAGTGGATTTTCAGGAAAAAAAATGCAGGAGACGCTCACCAACCATTGGTGGGGTCCCCCAAATAGTCCGTCAAACTTAAGGCCACGGAGGCAAAATGGAGTAGCCCAACAGTCGGAGGTTTAATACTATACAAAGAATGATAAAGAATGATAAAGATATCTAAAGACTCACAAGTCTGCACTTTGTGTGGGTTTTATCCCTTAACATTAAAACAACTCTGGGATTCGAGTCCAAGAAACAGACCGACCACTGGGGCTCCAACCCACATCACGCTGACATCATGGGAGGGAAGCCATGGCCATCTCAGCCAAATCTGCCGATGCCAAGGGGTAAAAGGGTAAAAGTCTTTCAGCCCTGTTTAAACCACACTCCCTTGGTGAATGCAAAGGAAGGGGCCAACCATGGCCAACCCAAAAATCTTCAGGACTGTCTTTGAAAATCTCGATCTTTGTGGTTTTTCTCTCCATTTTTTGAGATCATCCCAAGTAGCCTGGCGTTGAACCAAACATCATGAATTTCACCTTTAGCAATGGTAAACCATCTCCAGCTTTACCATAAACGGGTGGTATAAACATGTAGTATAAACATGTATAAACCATCAAAATATGGGTGGTTTATTCTTGCTTTACGAACACTACATATCTGAAACCGCCAAGCAGGCGGCTGTTGAGTCTGTCAGATTTTGACTCCGCGCGGACTTCCTGGAACACTGCGGTGCGACATCCAGTCGTGGCGTTTTTGGTGACTTCGTAATCCAAATATCCAAATTCCCAGTTGAAAACCCAGTTCTCAAGCGATGTCCCTGGTCCACCCCAGTGCTTCAAGGATCGCATCCTGGACCCATATCACCACTATGGAGCCGCTAAGGATGGGTGCACGAGGAACAGTGTTCAGGGAGTCTAAGTCTGTTTCACCCAGTCCGGCTTCCGGATTCAGCAACTTGTTTGCCAAAACAGGCTGGATAGGATTGGTTTTTGGCTCGGGGTCGATGTAACATCTTCCAGGGTGTCAGTGTAAACCCCATCATAGTGGAAGCAGAACCATCCCATTTTACAATGGGTGTGGATCAAAGGCATCACCTCCCACCCATTTTTGCTCATTCTTCATAAAGTTTCAAACAAAAATCGCCCCGCTCCCACAAAAAAACAAATGTCTCAATACCAACTAAATGGATCAAATCAGTGCGGTGGTACCCACAACAACCATGGCATCCGCAGCTCCCCAGCAGTGCCCTGTTTTTCTTCGCCGGTACATTTCGCATCACTCTCTCCCGCAGCCTGTGGTGTGACCAAATGAAAATCTCAAGCCGGATACCCTGGTCAACACCAAGATAGCTGGGAATAGCTGGGATGTGGATGTTGATCCCAGAAATCTAGTACTGGCTTTGATCCATGCCCACTGTGCTTCAATCTGGGTCTGAAATTTTGAGCTGTACCGTCATTTCTCGAAATCGGGGAGCCCCCAGTGAAATGGATGGAAATGGAATCCCTAATACCTGAAATAGATTAAAATAGTGCACTTCCTAAATAGCCATGAGTTGACAAGTTGACAGCTACAGCTAAAGGCAGAAAGAAAGAACAACAACGGATGGCCAGGAGAGCTTTGGGGAGTGCAGCTCTTCGTTCAGCATGTGAAGTTTCGCGCATTTTTCCAAACGAGCATGAACGACTGGTTTTCGGAATTCCTGCAGAATTCCCTGATGCAAGTGCATCACCCTCCAGCTGAAGATCGCTTGGATTTGAGTTGACCAAGCAATGTCTCCGCATTCAAATTCTTGGACGCCTCATACTTTCTCTTGGTGCGACTGAATGGCACAAGAGCGGCTGAAGAGCCATCCATCAACCGCAAAGGTAAAGTTTGATGCGCCATACGTGTTGCCCAGATGGCCTTCATAGATTCTGCCAGTGGCTCCTGACTGGACTGACATGCTTCCAACATGCCTTGAAGGCTCCCAGAGCTGCTATCATCAGCTGCATCCAACAGGTTCGTTGCAACTGCCCCCATACAGCTGGCCAGCGCTGCCGCATCATAGCCGCCCTCCAGCCCCAGCAACAGGCGGCCCTGGCACAGCTTTCGCGCCAAGCCAGTCAGCAGTTGGGCGAGCCTTCCAAACCCTTCAGCCGTGCAGTTGGCCTCACCCAGAGGATCCCATTGCGAGGCGTCGAATCCGGCGCTGACCAAGATGAGATCCGGCTTGAAGCGCCGGGCAGCTGGTACCAGCACATCCTGACATGCGCGCAGCAGGCAGGCATCGGTGTAGCCCTCCGGCAGGGCCACGTTGATGGTGTAGCCCAGGCCTTGGCCCGAGCCCACCTCATGTGGGGCACCAGAGGAGGGGTAGAATCCTTCAGCAAAGAGGTGCCTCAGCGCAGATACGTTGCAAATGTTGTGACCTATTGTGACCTATTGTGACATTGTGCATAAAATAGAAGTACTCATAGACTATTAGATACCATATACAGTATGACTCTATGACATAGTCTGACTTCCTACTAATGCTCAATCAGAAAGAATTACACCGAGTCTACTCTCATTATCTTCCAAGTTTCATGTCAACCACCAGCACGTTGGAATCGTTCCAGAAAATCTCTTGAGTGCCTTGTCCATGGTGCACATCCCAATCAAAAATCAAGACACGCTCCACCAAGGAGGGATACCTCATCGGAGCAAGTCCCTAAACCCAACTCCTCACTTTGGGACCCGAAACCTGGGAGTACAATCACGAAAAGGGACCCAAATTTGAACCCATGACCCATTGCATCCAACAAATGAAAGCCTTACTGCCTGCTATGCCTTCGGGATGCCTGTTCATCGCATAGCGTGCTGCTAGAGCGACATTGTTGATGAGACAAAAGCCCGTGCTGCTCGTGGCTCCCGCATGATCCCCTGGGGGTCGGCAAAGGGCAATTCCCTGCAGAAAGGATCCTTTGAGACTCTCGTCCACCAACTGCAACAATCCTGTGATGACGGAGACGGAGAAGCGGTGCGTTAAAGGACCTTCAATTTAAGATTGGGCAGTCTCAGGAAATATACAGGACGTTTTGGGTGTGCAGAATTCTGAGCCATAGACATGGGACGCAAGGACATCTAGCTGTTGTGGTTTTAGGACCACATGATTCAATTTGAGTCTAAGACGAGAAGCCTTGTCTAGGCAAGAACAGGAATGGTTATTATCATCTATGATCACTGTATTGGGCAAACATTTCTGTACCCTCCGGTAGTTTGACATAGGCAAATTTACTGTATTACCTATTGAAAATGGTGATTGTCCATAGCTATTCATCCCCCCACTCATATGGTGGTTTCCTAAAATGCTACCCCTAAATCATCCACTTTAATAGGATCCTCCATTATGAACCATCCCAGCTATTGATGTTATTGGGGTATTTTAGGAACCCCCCATATAGATCCATATAGTGTAGGAACATGTAGGAACATCATCGGTATGACCCATCCGTCCTCCTGCGGCACATCGGGCAGCGTCTAGTGAGCTGCTTGTGACAAAGGTGTCATGCTTTTTGCCACGCTGCACGGGCAGATCTGCCTTTGCAATCCGTTCCTAAACTGCCCGGATGACGGGTTGCTGGCGACTTTCGCTCTCTCCGTTTCCATAAAAACAAGCAAAAAATCATGGGAAAAATGCTCCGCAAATTCTCCAAACCATCCATCAGAAAGTGTCAGTTTCCCTTTAAAAATCATCTAACTATCATTGATTTCCCCCAACTATTAACCCATTCCAGATGTTTCGCATCATTTTCCCCAACCGCAAATTGGCCAAGTCTCCAAGCACCCCCCCGGTGGCAGCCACACCCGGCCCTTGGATCCCTTCGATCCCTTGAGCAGCTCCGCGGCCGCGCGTTGCGCGCGCTTCAGCCCCGCGATCTGCAGCTTCGGATGCACCAGCTGCAGCTCCTCGTCCATGGCGCTGCGCAGCGGCACCGGATGTAGCCAGGGCCAAAGGCCATGGGCAACGAGTCCTAGAAATGAAGGGCAAACAAAAAAAAAGTTGGTTATGAATGGTTATTAATGGTTGTTACATGGTACCAGTAGTACCGCACAAGGCAGTGGCGGAAATTTCAAAAATAGGAAACCTATAGGAGAGGTTGGTTGTTGTGAATCACGGATGGCA